AGAGAGAGAGAGAGAGAGAGAGAGAGAGAGAGAGAGAGAGAGAGAGACACGCTGGGTCCCAGCCCCAGTTCCCAAGCGTGGCCCCGGGGCAGCAGCTGCTTCCTGAGCTTTTGGCACAGACTGAGGGGGAAACAAGTGGCTGATCAGAGGGGGATTACAGGAATCTCTTTGCTGATGCAAGATTCTCTTGCTTTGTCTGTGCAAAAACTGGGTCACAGTTCTGGGTGGCAGTCTTGGGGTGAGGAGGAGTGCTGGCATGGTGGAGAGGAAATCCTTCTTACAGTTCCAAAACTGAAAAGAGTGCTTGTGGTCACTCATAGACCAGAGCAAAGGCCAGGAAAGGAGTAAACACCTCGCACCTTATCATACCACCTTGGAAGAACTGAAAATTTACAGGTCCCTAGAAGTATCTCTGAAAACAGTTGCACAAACCCCCTGAAGCTTGGGGCAGTACATTCTCCACACTGGAACCAGACCTCTACCTTAACAAAGAGTTTATAACTCAAGTAATTGGTTGGTATCTTGAGCAAACCTCGAAAAAAAGAGTCAGACCATAGAATCTTTTTTTGGTAACAAAGAAGATCAAAACATACAACCAGAAGAAAACAACAAAGTCAAAGTTCCTACATCCAAAGCCTCCAAGAAAAATATGAATCAGTCCCAGGCCCTGGAAGAACTCCAAAAGGATTTTGAGAAGTAAGAGAAGTAGAGGAAAAATCGGGAAGAGAAATGAGAGTGATGCAAGAAAACCATGAAAAACAAGTCAATAGCTTGCTAAAGGAGACCCAAAAAAATACTGAAGAAAATAACACCTTAAAAAACAGCCTAACCCAAATGGCAAAAGAGGTCCAAAAAGCCAATGAGAAGAAGAATGCTCTAAAAAGCAAAATTGGAAAAGGAAGTCCAAAAGCTTACTGAAGAAAATACTTCCTTAAAAATTAGAATAGAGCACCTGGAAGCTAGTGACTTTATGAGAAATCAAGACACTGTAAAACAAATCCAAAAGAATGAAAAATTAGAAAACAATGTAAAATATCTCATTGGAAAAACAACTGACCTGGAAAATAGGTCCAGGAGACATAATTTAAAAATTATTGGACTATCTGAAAGCCATGATCAAAAAAAAAAATAAAAGCCTAGACATCATCTTTCAAGAAATTGTCAAGGAGAACTGCCCTGGTATTTTAGAACCAAAGGGCAAAATAAGAAATTGAAAGAATCCACCAATCTCCTCCTGAAAGAGATCCCCAAAGAAAAACTCCTAGGAACATTGTAGCCAAATTTCAGAGTTCCCAGGTCAAGGAGAAAATATTACAAGCAGCCAGAAAGAAACAATTCAAGTATTGTGAAACACAATCAGGATAACACAAGATTTAGCAGCTTCTACATTAAGGGATCACAGGGCATGGAATATAATATTCCAGAGGGCAAAGGAGACAGGATTACAACCAAGAATCACCTACCCAGCAAAACTGAGTATAATCCTTCAGAGGAAAAAATGGTCATTCAGTGAAATAGAGGACTTTCAAGCATTCTTGATGAAAAGACCAGAGCTGAATAGAAACTTTGACTTTCAAATATAAGACTCAAGTGGAACATGAAGAGGTAAACAAAAAAGAGGAATCATAAGAGACTTACTAAAGTTGAACTGTTTACATTCCTGCATGGAAAGATGATATTTGTAACTCATGAGACCTTTGTCAGTATTAGGGTAGTTGGAGGGAAAACATTATATGTATGTATGTCCATAGATAGATAAATAGATAGATAAGAGGGCACAGGGTGAGTTGAAGATGAAGGGGTGATATCTGGAGAATAAAATTAAGTGATGAGAGAGGATTATACTGGGAGAAGGACAAAGGGAGAGGTAGAATGGGGTAAATTATCTCACAAAAAAAAAAAAGAAAAAAGGCTCTTACAGTGGAGGCAAAGAAGGGGAAGGTTAGAGGGAAAGAGTGAATCTTATTCTTATCAGATTTGGCTTAAGGAGGGAATAACTTACACACTCAATCAGGTATGGAAATTTATGTTACCCTACAGGAAAGTAGGGGGGAAAGGAGACAGGAGAGCAGGCGGATGATAGATGGGAGGGCAGTCTGGGGGAGGCGGTAATCAGAAGCAAACACTTCTGAGGAGGGACAGGGTCAAAAGAAAGAATAGAATAAATGGGGAGTGGAATAGAATTAAGGGAAATAGAGTCAGTTTTTCACTACATGACTACTATGGAAGTGTTTCGCATAACTGCACATGTATAACCTGTATTGAGTTGCTTGCCTTTTCACTGAGGGTGGGTGGAGAGGGAGGAAGGGACAAAATTTGGAACCCAAAGTTTTAAAAACACATGTTTAAAAAAAATGTTTTTGCACGCAACTGGGAAGTAAGAAATATAGGAAGTTTTTGGGTACAGAAATCTATCCTGCCCTACAGGAAAATAGAAGGAGAAGGGGATACAAGAAGGGAGATGGTGGCAGAAGGGAGGGCAGATTAGGGGAAGGGGTATTCAGAATGCATGTCATCTTGGGGTGGGGGGAGGGGTGAGATGGGGTGAAAATTTGGAACTCAAAATCTTGTGGAAGTAAATGTTGAAACCTAAAAATAAATAAATTAAAAAAAATAAAATCCTTTATTGAGAACTCTTAAGTTCTGACCTATATTCCTAATTTCTTTATTAATTTTCTTTTATTTCCATTTTTTAACCACTCTGGATCTTCTTGTTATAGTCTTATAATATTTGTTAAGGGAGCTTGGCATTCTCTTCTTCTGGTTTTATGATGCTCTCTTTTGATATATCTACATGAACCCTTGGCTTTTATCAAAAGTTTTCCTTTGAAATCTTTGGTGCTTTTGCTTTCCTTTTGTATTCTTCTGTTATTCACTTTCAGGTCCTTCCTGCTTTGCTGATGAAACACTGGAAGGGACTGCCTGGGTCCCTACTCTGTATAACCTGCAAGGGGAGGGCGACCCTAGGTGGGTTTCAGTCTCCTTTACTTCAGGCCTGGAGCAGCTGCCCACACTGGTATCTCACTCCATTTCCTCTCTTCTTTTTCATAGCTGGGTTGAGTCACTGTCTTCCACTTTTTTGTAGGGTTAGGAGTGAGTGTTCTAAGCAAAGTGTCTGCAGTTTTAGGAGTTCCTAATCCAATGGCAAGGCCATAATCAAAAGAAAGTACTTTTCAGCCCCACTCCACTTTAGTTACAAATAGCTTGGCAGAGTCAGTGTATACGCTGCTTGAGGAATGGGTTTATTTTTCTTTTTTTGCGAGGCAACTGGGGTTAAGTGACTTGCCCAGAGTCACACAGCTGGTAAGTGTTATGTATCTGAGACAGGATTTGAACTCAGGTCCTCCTGACTCCAGAGCCGGTATGTAACGGCTGGTGGGGGAAGAGTGGAGATTGGGTGTTCTGAATATTAGGGTTCTGATAACTAATTTAGAGGGATTTTAGCTTGTCATGGTTCTGTCTTCTTGCACTGGGGTATTTATCTATGATTATTATACATCTAGTGCATAATTCCTTTTTTGTTTTTTTTGGATGGACAGTTAAAGTGGTTTATAGAAAGTGACTAATGTGCCATTGTGCTGGTCATGTGATCTACAACTACAGGCATTCTTCTAACAAGGTATCTGAGCTGACGTATGTGTTAAGACAGTAAAAGATTCCTTGGATGACATAACAACAGAAATCAGTGGTTCTTTGATCATCAAAATAATGTTAGGTTGCCAAAGATGTTTGCCACCAGCATAAAGGAAAAATATTCTATAGACAATCAGGGCCTCCAAATGTTCCTATTTGTGGTTAACAGTGTTGATGCCTTACCCTATAGAGTTTATAGTCTTAGACCCAATGACTGGTATACAACACTTTAAACCCCATGTTTGTTGTTGAATGGTGGGACATAAACATAGTTAGGCATTTGTCTTGTGGACTGGAGACGGAAGTAGGGAGACAAACTACCCTTGGAAACTGGCCATAAGAGAAACAAATTTTAAAGAACAAAATTGTTTTTCTGTTTACCTGTACTGAGAACATTGCTGACAGCTGAAGGGGTTGAGCTAATAGAAAGTCCTGACAGACCCTGTTCAATGCCTGTAGTTCCAGGTGGTGACACAGGTGAAGGATTCACTGATGACAACTGGACCTTACCAAAAACCAAGATAAAAATTACTTAGGTGTATTTCAAAGAAAACATTTGGAATGCATAACAAACAGCAAACAAAAATTTTCACTAGCATATACTCTGGCCCCAGTAATTGCCACTTCAACCCACACCAGAGGCAGTGACCCTGACTACCATACTTAGACACCAGCATAGGTCACCTCACATGCGTACCCCATATTTAACTGTTAACATCGCTCACTCAAAACTGTCACACCAGCCCTTCCTTTTATGTACATTTCTCTTTTAACTCCTAAATTCTCTTTTAACTAACCTTGATCTTTGAGTCACCTTCAGTCACTCTAAACATTCCATTTTAGTCAACTACACATTGTAACCATACCCCAGCTCTTTACAATTTCCCTTCCTCCCAGTCAACTTATATTTTTAGTTTTGGTATTCCTTTTTATTTTCTACTTCCTAAGTCCTACTCACCCCTTCTAAAACATATTTAGTTGTCTTTAAACACTCTATCCTGCTATAAATTCATCCCTCTGGTTGGTACTCAGGACCCAGAATTAGAGAATCAGGGATGAAAGGAACCTGAAAGACCAGCCAGCTCAATCCCCTTAATCCAAGTAGGAATTCTTTTTACAACATCCATGACTGGCCTCTATATGAATAGCTCAAGTGATGGGGAACTATCCAGTGATGGACAGCTCATGAAGCACTTTGTTTATTTTTTTTTTCTTAAATCATGATACATTTCATTTGGATAGACACATCAAACAAGCAAACTTCTTTAAGGAGCACATTTCAAGAAACCAGTTAAGCAAAAACTGCCTAATAGAGGTGATTATAACCAATAGCATGACATTGACAATGTTTATGTTTGCCAGTTATTAACAAAGAGGAAGGACGTGTGCTTTAATTTTGTGCCAGAAACACTGTCAGGTCTACTTGGCCCAAACCTTGTTGCCTTTCCATATTCAGTTCATTTAATTTCTACACAATTCAGTTAGAAAGTTCTTTTATATTTAACCTGAAATCCACCCCTCTTGTGAATTCTCCCCAAAGGTCCAGTTCTGCTACTTGGCAGCCCAAAGCCGCAGTCAATTTTAGTCCTCTTTCACACGCAAACATTATGAACACCTATTATAATGCCCCAGCTTTACTCCTCAAGCCAGCATCAGTTCCTTCAATACTGTGACATGGTTCTGAATCCCTTCACCATCCTGGCTGCCCTCCTGCCCTAACCCCAGGATCCAGTTGGGCCAAATTTCTCAATACCAGTTTTGTTCTAGATGTTCTAATTCTATTGATGAAAGTTAAGGTCATATGATTTGTTTTTTTTCTTTTTTGGCATCTCACATCATGTTGTTCACTCACACTGAATTTGCAGTCAGCAAAGCTCCTTTTTTCATATGAACTGCTCTTATGGTACTTCTCTACCATCATGCAATTGCAGAGCAGATTTTTTAAAAAACCTGTATTAGGCCTTCAGATTTACACCTATTAAAATTCATCATGTTGGATTCTGATGTTGTCATACAATGCACATTAGCTATTCTTTCCAGCTTGCTGTCACCCTCAGATTTGATAAACAGGCCACCTATGTCTTCATGCAATGGACAAAAATGTCAAAGAAGATTTGGGACAGAGCCTTCAGCAAGCCACTGAGGCTATCCCTCCAAGATCGTAATGATTCCCTAATCAATAAACACTCATTGGGTATTACTTTTCAACTAACTAACGATCTACCTAATTATATCATCATCAAGCCCAAAGGTCCCTGTTGTGTCCTCAATAATATCATGAAAGACTGTCAGGTATGTTGCTGAGATCCAGATATACTATGTTTATAATAGTTTGCCTGATTCTTTTTCATTATTAGTCTTTTAATACTATTAAAAAAGAAAATGAGGTTAGTTTGACACATGGGTCAAGGCAGAATAAGCCCTGACCATGAATACGTGTTACAGAGAAGCCTCAAAGATAAGAGCCTACAGGGGATAAAATTTCCAAACTCTGCCCAGGGTAAATACATGCTTTGCCTAAGTTCTCCCTAAAGGACTGAAAGTACTTGGGAGCAGAAGATATGATCTCAGGGGGACCGACAATGTACCTGAGGTGATTTTAAATAGTTTTAGACAGCATGGAAGTAATGAGAGGTGTAGCCAAAATATATATCAAAAAATGGCAGAGGAGACAATAAGTGGCACAGAAGTTCTCATGTAATGCTCTCCCAATTTTTCTGGCTTAAGCTGGGTTACTTATTTAATTTAATGTTCAATTCAAGAAGCTTTTTATTTCAGGGAAAAATTAATTTGGAAAAAAAAATCACTAAAGTGCTTGTGTTTTTTGATCCAGCAGTCCTACAATTGGACATAGACCAAAGGAGGTCAAAAACAAAAAAAGAAAAGTTTCACATGTACCAAAACATTCACAGACTTTTGTGGTAATAAAAAACTGGAAACAACTTGGGCACCCACCAGTTATGGAATGGCTGAACAGTCCATGATATATAATATAATTCCATGTAATGTAATACTACTGTGTCAGAGAAACAGGGGGATATTTGTAGGAACTGTTGCCAAGGAAAGCAATAAAAGATAGAGAATATACATAATGATAATAGTAATGTTAAAAAAAACCAACACCACTAAAAGCAAGATGAATTATACAGAGAAATGATAATTAACAAGCTAGTGCTCAGAGAACAGATAATGAAACCTATCTTCTTCCTCTTGGTAGAGAGATGGATTGCTACAAAGGTAGGGAATTTATGCTGCTGTATGTCATCACTGTACTGGTTGGTTTTGCTGAACATTTTCATTATTACAAGGGAGGCTTCAATGGGGCAGGAGAAAGGAAGTGGGCGCAGACCAGGAGAAGGATTATGTCTAGGAATGACTGATATGAAAATAAAGGTATCACCAAAAATTCTTTTCAAAGAATAAATTAAGTCAGTGAAGCAAGTATCTTACCTCTGTAAAACCATCTTTGAGGGGAGTAACAGGGGTACTAGTCATCTGTCCTGGAAGAGAAATTTTCTTCCCTTCTTCAAATGGTCTTGTAGGTATTCGATGTAAATAGCCATATCCAATGCCACATCCTAGGCTTTAGAAACATGACATTTTCAAAGGTACTATTGAAGATCAGTCGCAATTTGGCTTTTAAATATGCTTGCTATCTGGTGATTGTCTCATTTTAAAAACTAAAGGAAAGGGAGTGTGGCACCTGTAAAACATTAACCATGAGAACTTTCTGCTAACATTTGTTGAAAAATAACTTTGGTTTCAATGCTGAGGGTGTCATGAAGCAATACTCGTGCTGTATTAGGCCACAATAAATTTAACTCTAAGGTATCAAAAGCCTTAGAAGTAGCATGAGGTAGTGGAAAGATCCCTGCAGTTAAGGTCAGAGAGCAATTACAGTCCAGCCCTGTTTACTGCTGCCAGACCATGGGCTAGAGAAGACACTTAACCTTTTTGAGCTTCAGGCTGTGCATTTGTAAAGTATGTGGTTTGAATGGGTGATTTCTACAGTCCTTCCAACTCTAAGTTCTATGAGCCTATTTCAGGCAACAAGTATTCATGTGTATAAGCAATCTAATGTAGAAGAAAAAACTAAAGAAAGAAAGGATATCATATAACCTAATTCCTTAATAAGTATTATGTTCAATTAAAACCAATTCTCCTACATAAAAGTCTCAAAGTGGTGCAGTTGGGTAGAGTGCTGGCCCTAGAGTCAGGAAGATCTGAATTTAAATCTGACCCCAGATACTTACTACTGTGTGACACTGGCCAAGTCACTTAACTCCTGTGTGTCTCAGTTTCCTCAACTGTGAAACAGGGATAATAATAGCACCTTACTGCATAGGACTGTTGTGAGAATCAAATGAAATAATATTGGTTAAGCACTTAGTATGGTGCCTGGCACATAGCAGGTTTTATATAAATGTGTATTCCCTTCAGAGGAAAGAATAACTAGGAAAGTATTTACTAAATCGGAGGTAGGCACAGAGGTCTCTGTTGGCATGTGGACCAATTTCCAGTGTAGTGGGATGGCTGCTGCCACTATGACACCATTCCTGATGGCGTCTTGAGCCTTCCCAGTAAAACTTTGAGAGTCACTACTCACTGATGCCCTAATTTCCTAGAAAGAGTCGGTGACAAAATCTAGCAGCAGGCCGTGTTTATATTTGGTACCTTCCAATGCTCTTCCTAAGCTGTACTCATGCACAGTTCCTTGCCCCTAAACTGGGTCCATTTCTGCAAAGCTTCCCCAAGTTCCTATCTATTTGATCACTAATTAACTTAGCAAGCAGGAATGGAGAAAGGGGAAAATGAATTTCTTAAGTGGAATCAGGTAGTACCAGAAATGGGGGTGGAGAGGTGGGGGGTTGAGGCATAAACAAGAAGTTTTCTTCACTCCACAGAGTAGGCTCTATTTTAAATCCTACATGATCCCAGTAAGCAGTAGCACATTCTAGAAACTGAAATCAGCATTTGCCCTTTTCTTCATTCACCCCATCGAGCCTCCTCTTAGCCAGCCACCCATCATGACGGAGGGCTCTCTAAAGGATAACGAGAAGGTGGGACCTCAAGGCTACTACTTCTTGGGCTACCAGTTTTCAAAGAGAAGAGCCAATGTCCACTGGTCTTTCAGAGGGGTCACAGGTACTTTAATGTAAATTGTGAAAATTATGGTTTCCCCCCCCCTCAGACTCCTCCCACTTTTTGAGACCTGTTCTTCTTGATCCCTAGATACCCAGTACCCCGAATGCTGTTTTCTGGCTGTTCAAAACTTCCCCCCACAACTACATGCTCTACAACAACCAGGTCTCCCTACCTAGGTACCATGTACTCCAAAATTATACTTCCCCAAAACAATCTAATTACATTAATTTGAACTAAAGTACGAGGGACTGATAGCTTTCCAAGAAGTATATGCATTTTAAAGGTTTCTTGTTAATTAAAAGGAACCTACCTGGAATTCTAATTAGTTGAATTTCAGGAAGTCTGGAAAAAATGCCTATGTTTGGGGAAAGGGGAGGAGAAGGGATGGGGAAAAGAGCTCTTACTCTCCAGGTTGTACGGCTAGCTCTGGTTCTACCACTGCCTGAGCAAGTCAGGATGCCATGTGCCCACTCTTTGCCACTTTCTTCCCAGGCATGTCAGAACAAGGTATGGACCTTGCTTTTGAAATGCTGCCAACCATGCACTAAACTGTAATCACAGCCTTTTACTCAATGATTTGGAATGAAAAGAAAGGCTTAAATTCATTGTATGTTCCTTCATAATTAAAAGAGCCAGTCCCTAGAAATAACATACAAATATTACTTTTTTTTTTTTTTTAACAGATTCCTAGTTTGGGCAAAACTGCGTATGCCACTTCTTCCTTTCTATCTTTCCCTAAAGAAGTAGAAGGGTCTCTCCACAAAGAAGTCATTTGTTAAACTTCAAATAGTCATAATTTTGAGGGTCGATTGACCTTACCTGCCTTCTCCACCCCATGCAGAATTTGGTGTAATAATCACTTCTCGACAATTATCAGTGTCTGTGTTGTACACGTAAAGTTTTAATGGTTTTGCTTCATGTGTTTCAATAAGGCTGAACAGATCTTCAGACTAAAAAAGAATTACAGGAGACACCTGCATTTATATCACTACAGTGTAGCACAGAGACATCAAATATTTCCAATTTGTCAGTGATTTCCTAGGAAAAGAGTAGGCACACTGTGGTGTGCAACCAATCACAGGCCAGTGTTTCCTTGGACAATTACATACAGGGACAATAATTTATTAAATGACACCTTTGTGGCTTAAGAAACTTTATCTCCCAAATTTAGAGAAGCTGGGTTTTATAACAAAAGTTTAGGCATGTTTTTGGAGAGGGATCATTGTAGGTTTGGAAAAGGTTGAATGGAAGGTTTGTAGAAGGTGTCATTGTGGCCATCCAAGAGTGTTTAGAAAGCACTGCATGCTTTCACTCCCCTATCCCTTGCCTTATGGGTTATTCTTCTCTATCTCTTTTTTTTTTAAACTTCTACGCCTATGACCTCCCCTATTTATCACATGTTGCTCCCCTAATTCCCAACTCCAACTTAACTTCTTTATTTCTGCTTTCCCCAGATCAGGTAAAGAATTTTCCTCCTCAGCCTTTGGTCATAGTTCAGAAATATCACTCTACGCAAAAGCCCCTGAATCAGTCTCCTCAGTGGTACTCTTTTTCCACTGCCAAATTCCACAACAATCCTCCTTCACACTCAGTTATTAAAAGAATCCTCTACTAAATTATACTCTAATGCTTTACTATGGTATGGAGATGGCCCTGGCTTCTGAAGGAGTGTCCAAAATTTAGTTTCTAGATGCCAACTAAGTAGCACTATAATTCTGAAGTCAAATGTTGGCAGGAAAATATCTTATGACTTTCTGTTAGTAACAAAAGTAACATATTACATTACCTCATTCATAACAGTATCAGCTCCAATGATATAATCGCTGTAAGGTCTAAGACCTGCCAACGCCGCAGGAGAATTTGACTCCACTTCCTAGTATAAACAAAATAAAATACAAATAATGTTTAAATTTCATAATCCCCCAAATTTTACAATTTGTAGGTCTTCTTACAAAATGAAACAAACAGTATAAACAACCTTTTGAATACAACAATCCAGTTTTATCAGAGAAGAGCTTTAGAATTATATAAACTTTTCACAATTTCCCTAAATTTTGGTAAATATTGTGCATATTTCTACAGAAGCTTGTTCTATTATGTCTTCCTCTAAACCTAATAAACCATTTGCATAAAATATAGCTCAGCTGTGACAGTTCACAAACAATACCTACCAATACATGCCAGACATTTTCATTGGCCCCATCAAAGCTGCAGAAACGAATGCTCACTCCAAGCAACCCCTGACCACCCCACATGTTACTGGGTGTGACTGATGTTTCTCTTAGCTCCAGTGTTTTGCTACTGTAGACAAGCATTTTTACAGGCTTTTCAACATTGGCTTTTAGCAGATCTTTGAGAGTATCATTGTCTTTATTCTGTGAATAAAGAGAAATATTTTTTCTTTATAAAATTCAAAATTGTTGACCAATTTTCTTATATTATTAACCATATAGCACTACCAAAAACATTTCAAGAATCAAGATGAAGAAAAGACAAGCAACAAAGGATTAAAAATGTTTATATATAAAAAGCAGGAAAGTAAAGAAAACCCAATAACACAGTCTTTTAATATTTCACTTCACCCCATTATCAGGCAGCAAAATGTAAAAACAACAACAACAACAACAACAAAACAGTACCACTGCTGTTTTCAAGTAAGTATCCACACCAAATTTAACATTTTTCCTAACTAAATTGTGAGATGCACCATTCAACAATGTAATCTGGGGATTATCTTGCTGGGAGATGGGGTGAGAGAAGACTTTAGGGATAAAAGCAAAAAGGAGCCTAGAAGGCCAATGAATAGTTCCGTTACTATTTAAAGTAGAAAAATGCTTATTTTAAAATAATGAATTTTTTAATAGGAGTAGAAATTTGTTTTTCAAAAGCTAACTGTATCTGGGCTTCTTCCTTGAATACACCTTTGTTTAATCAATGATAACAGGGATGGGAAGAAAAGAAATTAGAAATAAAATTTAAATATTTTACCAGAAGAATGAACACAGTGGGAAGGCATCTAATGGACAATACACACACACACAAAACTCCTTTAAAAATAAACAAATTGAAAACCAACAGGTAGAAGAACTAAGCTTACTAAGATCACATAACAGTCTTAAAACTGGAATTTCCAATGTGTATGTAAATGAAAAGCAATTCACAACAAGTGATTTTAATTATGTTCTATTTGAACAATCTTTCTTATTTATTTCTACTTAAATTACTCATACATCAATAAATCAAGATGTCAAGGAAAGTAACTAGTTATTTCAGAATATGTCTGAGAGTATTGCCATATTACCTGTCAATAAGAAACTTGCAAAACCCAAAAGCATTAAAGAGCACATAAAAAAAAGCCCTTAAAATTCTCACTTTCAAAAGACTACAAAATGTTATTAGAAAAATAAAAAATTGAACTTACTAATCTTGAACCGTTGATAGAAACAATAAAATCAAAGAAGGGCTCCAGTCCAGCTCTATGCCCTGGTGAATTTTCTTGTACCTATAAAGATAAAATATTGATAGAAAAATGTAAATGATAATAAATAAAATTAGTAATTTAATAGACTAATTTTCATTTAATTCTTGTAAATTTTTAATTAGTTTAGGATAATTTTATTTGCTAATAAAAACCAGATACATGATAATTGTTCCTAGAGGTGTCCTCTCTCTCCTGCTCTCCCTATCTAAACTGTGCCTATCCTTTGAGGTCCTGTTCTATTTCCTTTTATGAAATATTCTACTATAGCAACCCATGCCTTCTTTGAACTTCGACAGCATTTACTGTCTGTAAAACTCAGTTTTTGCACATCATTTATTATCTTGCATTACTTTTCCATCTCTAAATCTATGACCTCATAATACATTTCATACAAAAACTAATCCCTCCAACCAGTCAGGAATCGTGTCTTACATTCTTCTGTGGCTTCTTCAGCACCAAACCTGTGGAAAATTCAATTTGATTCAATGAAATAAACATTCATCAAATATCCACAGTGCACAAAGCACACTTAAGATCTAGCAGGGGATACAGCACATGCACTAAATAACCACAGCATAAAAAACCAAACAATATCTCACACTTCTATCGTACTTGAAGGCTTATAAAATCCTTTCCTCCCACTACTCTGTGAAGTGAGTAATGAAATAATCACTCTCACCATTTTATAGATGAAGAAATAGAGCTCCAGAGAGGTGAAGAGAATTATGTCCACAGTCATTTCACTAATAAGTAGGAGGCGAGATTTGAACACAGTTTTCCTGACTATCAGTAGAGAAAGCTCTTTTTACTACGCTGAGGTCCAATACGTGAATCAAGCACAAGTGTGGGAGCTGGGATGTATATCAGTCTCCTGACTCCAAATTCTTCACACTTGTGAAGCCTCCTCATGATAAGCGCCTAAGTGGAGTAAGCAAAAGGCTACAGAAGGTCCAAATGCTGAAAGTATCAGGAAAAGATTTCTGATAAAGGACAAGTAAGAATTAAATTTGTGTGTGAGAGAGATATATCTTAATTTCATTAAAATTTTGTATAAACAGGGAAAATGGGCATCTGGTCTGTAATTACTGACACTGCCTCAGTCTTCTTTTTCTGTTAATAAATGAGACCTTTTCCCTGATTCAAGTCTCACTTCTCAAATAACCTCAAAACCCACTGCTTCTGTGTAGTTGCTCTCTGTGAAAACCTTCTCTGTCTAATCATAACTTAAAAAAACTTGTATTGTGTGAAATTTGAATAGACAAATAATTTAAAGATTGAGAGCAAGATGGTATATCATGGGAAAAAAGCACTAGACTCATAATCAGGCAACCTGTTCCCTTGTCATTAAAATGGGGATAATAATGCTTATACAAATACACGATAACTTCATTATATACTTAAAAGGAGTAGCAAGTTGTACATAACAGATTTGCAGTTTCATATGCAATCATCTTTTTTTATTCTACTATGTTATGAAAATGCTTGTTTTATTTCATAAAATAGAAAAAAATAAAAACAAAAAACATTAGTCCAGTAGTGTGCGTACATATAGCATGCACACAACAGTGTATCTAGATATACTGTTGTGTATGTGCTTAAATTTTTTTACTGATAAGGGATCAAAAAAGTCTGGTGATTGTTTCCATGCAATAAAGCTTCCGCATAGCTACTCTAGCAAAAACCTGAAATTTGAACCAAATCAAGTAATGATCAAGAAATTTAATGAGAAACTACAGTGATGACTTCCTCCTTAGAACTGCACACAAAAATCAGCCAGAAGCGCACAGGCAACAGGAAAGGGATTCGCCAGCAAGGTAACTAAGCCAGCAGATTCCTAGACATAAGAGAAAAGGACTAGAGATCAGTAAAGCCTGAGTCTCTGTGTCCAGAGGCACCAACAACAGGACCAATGAAATCCAATCTGAGGTGATCAGAAAGCCCACAACAAGGTATGGACCTTAAAAACCCAGGGGTCCTGCTATCCCGAGACATCAAAGACAATGAAGATCCACCGTTCTGAACCTCAAAGACGCAGAGAGCAGCCAGGTGGCACAATGGCTATGGCACTGGGGCTGGAGTCAAGAAGACCTGAGTTCAAATCTAGCCTCGGACACCAGCTGTGTGACTTTGAGCGAATCATTTAATAGCTGTCTGACTCAGTTTCCTTAACTGTAAAATGGTGAAAATAATAGCTCTTATCTCCCAGGTACGCTGTGAGGGTCAAATGAGATTATACTTGTAAAGCACTTAACACAGTGCCTGTGTGTGGTAGGCAATTAAGAAATACTTATTTCCTTCCTTTGTTCCTTAATGCTGGAAGGTAGATGGAGGTCAAGCCAGGTAACTCAGGTGTACACCAGGCAAAGCCAACCAATACACCAAAAAGTGAAAGTGGGAGGGTGGCCTAGCTCTGGAACAAAGCTCCACTTTAGCAACTAAAGCTAGAGAGAAGAGTAAAGAGACTGCCAAAGTGAACGAGAAAATAATCCCATAACAACTGCAAGCACATACTAAAATAAAAACAAAAACAAAAACAACTGTTGATTTTTCAACAGACTACATGAACACTCAGAAATAAGGAAAGAGATTTAAAAAAAAAAAAGCTCAGGAAGTGATAAACCTTATCTATATAACAAACCTTCCGAAAACTAGAACAGACCAAACAGAAATCAATGATTCCACAAGATGAGAAATATTAGAAAAAAAAGATCAAAAATATGGAAGAAGTGAACAAGTCAACAAGCATCTATTCAGCACTTGCTGAACCACACAAAGTACTGGAGATAATAAAGAAATACAAGAACAATTCTCTGCTCTTGCAGAGCTCACAATCTTAGGGAAGACAACATGCAAACAATGATATATCAATATACATGCAGGATAAATCTGAGAGGGAAGGCACTAATATTAGGGACTAGGAAAGGCTTTTTGTAGAAAGTGAGATTTTAGCTGAGACCTGAAGGAAGCCAAGAAAACCAGGAGGCGGAGATGAGGAAAGATCGAATTTCCAGGCATGGAAAATAGACAAATAAAAATATATGGAGTCAGGACATGGAGTATCTTGTGTGAGGAACAACAAGGAGGCCAGCATCACTGGATTACAGAATATGTGGAGAAGGGTAAGATTTCAGAAGGCTGAAATACCTTTCTAGGGACAGGTTACGAAGCGCTTTAAAAGCTAAAGTGAGGATCTCATTTTTGATATTGGAGATAACAGGGAGTCACTGGAAAACACTGGACAGGGGAATATCAGGGTGCTGAAAGCCTGCACTAGGGTGTTGGCAGTGTCAAAGGTATATACAAGAAATACTGCAAAGGTAGAATCAACAGGACTTATACTGTTGACTGAATATGGGGATAAGAGTGAAGAGTGAAGGATGAGGCATAGGTTGTGATTTTGGTTGTGAGCTTGGGTTGACTGGGAAGATATACACTTACAAACAACAATGACTTACTCTGCAAAGTTAGGTATAATCTTACCAAGGAAAATGGAACTTTAATGGAATAAAAAACTTTCAAGCATTTCTCTTAAAAAAGATCAGAGCTGGTTTGAAACTTTGAAATGCAAACAAGAGTCCTGAGAAACTTTCTAGAAAGCTCTATTTACTTGAGCAATTGGAAGGTGTTATATATGATGATGTTGTGCTAACATTTTAATAGGAAAAGAAGCAAATGTCCCTTCATACCTTTAATATATTCAACACGTACTGAGGGAGTTAAATAAAAACAGATGACCTTGGAGTGGATTGATGCTGTTCTGAGAGTGTGAATAGAGAAAGAGAAAGGAGAGTAAAAAGAATTCATTAATATAAGGAGTTAGAACGGGGTAGAACTTGCTATTTTCCTAACTTGGGTACATGAAAAGCATGAAACAAACATGAAGGAAAGGGTGGGGCAGCAAGCATCTTCAGATGAACTTCACTCTTATCTGAAAAGGACAAAGGAGGACTGAATACACAATTTGGTGTAGAAATGTATCAGACAACAGGAAAACAAGCAGGGATAGGGAAGGTGGGGAGAGCCTTAAGAGAGTAATGGGAAGGGAACAGTTAGTTGCAAGTAAAACAAATGTCCTGATTCTGAAAAAGGGATCAAAAGAAAAAAGAAAGAAGGAAAAAAAAGGAACCAGAATGGTGTGTGATACCCCCTCCTCACCCCATCCCCTGCTGATTGGTCGGTTTAGTCACGTCTGACTCTTTGTGACCTCATTTGGGGCTTTCCAGGCAAAGATACTGGAGTGCTTGTTGTTTCCTTCTCCAGCTCATTTCACAGATGAAGAAACTGAGGAAAACAAGGTTAAGTGACTTGCCCAGGGTCATACAGCTATTAAATGTCTGAGGCCAGATTTGAACTCAGGAAGATGGGTCTTCCTGACTCCAGGGCCAGCACTCTATTTACTGTGCCACCGAGAAACCCCTTGGGGGATGCCAATTGGTGAATAGCTGAACCAAGGGTGATATACAAATGCAAGAGAATATTATTTCACAATAAAAAATGATGAGACGATGTCGGAGAATCTTGGGTAATAAGAACTGAGGTGGGGTGAAGTGAGCATAATCATAAGAGATTTGAAAGACTTAAGAACTGATCAATGTAATGATGAAAACTGTTTCCAAACAATGTATAATAAAGCATGTTACACCCTCTAGACAGAACAGTAATACACTGAAGGTGAAGAAAGAAACCTCTATTCTTGGGTATGGCCAATATATAGATTTTGCTTGACTATGTTTATTTGTTATAAGGGCTTCTTTTTTTATAATTAATTATTTTTAGTTTTCAACATTCACTTCCATAAGATTTTGAGTTTTAAATTTTCTCTCCCTCCCTAAGATGGCGTGCAATCTGATATAGGCTCTACTTATACATTCATATTAAGCATATTTTCACATTAATCATGATGTAAAGAAGAATTAGAACTAATGGGAGGAACCACGAGAATGAAGAAACAAAACAAAAGAAAAGGAGAGCAAATAGTATGCTTCCATCTGCATTGAGACTCCATAGTTCTTTCTCTGGAT